CACCCCTGCTCTAGATCATAAAAGGTGCCATCACAAATGTTCAAGTTATCTATGTCATGTGCATCAATGCATAACCCAAATTTATTTAAGTTTTTTTAAATACTTGGTTACTTGGTTGACAATTGCCTTAAATATGAGCGGTTCCACCAGGCATTATTTGTTAGTTTTTTAAATATATGTCATGCAAAGGAACCTCAAACTTTTTTGCTCTTCCTCTTTTCTTTTCACTTTGACTTTTGTTGTAATGAAGAGATCATTTTACTGGATTGTACAAGCTGCACAACTGTGAAATTTGCTTCAGTAGGCCCCCACAATCTGTCATGGTCCTGACAGTTTGGCCTTTGTAAAGAGATTGTCTTAGAAACATTTCCTTGCCCCTGGGGTTATGGCCTTTACTTTAACTCAGCTCTATGAGAAAGGATTGTCCTGAGACAAAGGGTTCACAGATGAGCTGTGGAGAGAGAATATTGCAGTCTGTTGCTGAGGAAGTTGAAGCTTACCAGCACTGCTGGAGCACAGGCAGGGGGCTTGTAGGTCTCACAAGCATTAAAAGCAAATTGTGCAATTTGCAGAAGGACCCTTTCTTAAGAGGAGGTGACTGTGATTAGCTGCATTCCCGTGGGAGGGAGATTTATGAAGTCTGAGCTTGCTTTTTGGGCCTGACCTACTGCGCAAGTTGGAACATCATTAAAATATGATTTCCCATTCTAATTTATGATCATGTGACACTGTGATTATCACTATTGGGGATCATTTTCAGCAAAATGTGACATAAGATGACAATGGACATGTAGCATAACATCGTTTTAATGTAATATAAATGTAGCAATCTGGAATCGTTGGAATTATGATAATATTAAGAATGAGTAAAATACATCTTAAAGTCCTACAAATGTTCTTCTGTTCTGTTGGGTTGTTATACAGTATGTCAACTCCCCATGGAGACGACTTGTTTATCATGCCACCATTTCCCCCTATCTCCTGTTTCTATGGTAACAGCTTAGCGGACCTTAACGTTATTTGCAAATACACTAGTTAACATTTTTCATTTTTAACCTTTGACTTCTCAACTATTATGCACTTGCTACTCTTACAGATGTGTTCTTACAAGGCCTGTTATAATTCAGCTTTATCTTTGCACTAGATGGTTAAATTAGATTTCAAGAAGATAAATATGTCATATTCTTGCAGTGCATTTTTTTTCCCGTTGCAATTGCAGTTTAAAAAAAAAAAAAGAATAAATAAATACGATCTTTTGCCACCGACAACATGCTGTTTTTGATTAGGCCTTAGTTACTCTTTTTAAGTTCTTGATTGCACTCAGATTCCAGCTGTTGACTGACAATTAAGTTAAGAGACGCTACAGTTAATTAACATTTTAATCTTGAATGTCAAACAATGGCTGAAAGGACTTTGAAAGGACCTTTGGAGCAAGACACCATAGTTAATTTAAATAGAAAAAAGAATGTCATAGCATTTTCTTAGACTAATGTGATTACAGTTTGTTTAATGTTGTGTTGTATATTTAGAAAAATGTTATGCCTTCCAGAGCTGTGTTTTATATATATATGTATTCTGTAAATATTGTGCATGTAATAAAAAGAGCTGCGCAGTTCTAAAAATTCACAGTTTGGTTTATGGCCCAAAAGGCGAACTCCCATGACTGTGATGGATTTTCAGTTCAATTTTTACATCAAAAATCTTTGTACTTTTAATTACAGCAGTTCCACAAGGTTAATTAGCATAAGCAAAATGAGCATGTGGCTAATTAACATTTTATTCGACGCACAGGTTAGGGAAGCTGTGTGTCGATCTTCATTTATCAATCTGTATTTTCACACATGCTTTTTATAGCAACACAAAATCTGCTTTTAATTTTAATTAAATACTTAATTTCACTCTTTATTTCATCACAGCATACTGGTTGCTAGTTTCACTCTAGGCAAAGCAGCGGTTGGACGATCAAAATTATTCTGACTCTCTGCAATGAACCGATCACTTGCAGCCAGTTGACGTGTTCAGAATGACTTGGTTTATCAAGATCGTGATAAAAGGTGATCTGTATGTTATCAGTTTGTGAATGAATGTGGTCAAATTGGCAATTACATGCAATCAATCTAGTATAATATGTTGGGAAACTGATAAATCTACACAAAAAATGCACATTACCTACTTACAATAAAAATCTAGGAAGAACTTCATTTGCAACAGAAGTTTAGAAAATCCTCTACAATTCACTAAAAGACAATGATTTAACTCCAAAATAAGACTGTAACCAGAACAAAACTGCAATAGTTGGCAGCCAGTTGAGGAGAGTACGCTATTGCAAAGACCCATCACAGACAAGTTGCAATCATCGGTGCAGACTGACTCAGAGTGATTGGAGCATGCTGACAGTTGGACTGACTACTGAGTCAAACCACGATTTGTTTGGAGACAGGTTGCCTCCTACCAGGTGACATGTGCAATCACCTCTGGGGTCACTGCAGCTACTTGCTTCCGTCGCCAAATTCAATGCAATCATCGAGCAGCATCCTTGTTTATATATTTTTTTTAATTTTTAAACAACACCCACAAGACGACTCTGGATCTTTATATCATGAATTTTCTCTGTGTTACTAACAAAGCATGACACCATGTTAGTGTGAACCTTTGTGAATACTCTGGTCTTCAATATTACACCTTTCTGCTGCTTCAGGGATTTCACACAGTTTATCCCTTGAGGCAATGGACTTCAGCTCTTTCCCTACTCACCATCCCAGCTTGTTCTAAATGTAGACCTAAAATCTTTTTCTTTGATCCCAGATTGGCTTGACTCTTTGGAAGTCTGCCCTCACAATACAAAGTGGGAGTTTTTTTTAAGGATTTTCTTGGTGTATGGCTTCTTTGTGAAGAGGATTTGTGGCTCTATAAGATCTATAAGGATTTGATGCGCTGCTGTAGCTACGAGACACAATATTGCTCCACTCCCTGGAGTCTGTCTGTAACACTGAGTTATTGTCCATGACTCCTGAAGGACAGATGGTGTACAGATTCCAAATTACAATGTGTACTCAGACAGACAGATCACTTGTACTTAGCTGGTTGCTTTCAAAAATGAATTTGTATTCCTTTATTTTTCTATAGGAAGTATATATATAACTAAAGTAAATGACCTGCAACTTATTATACTGATGATATTTTGGTATACTCATTAAATTTTTAAGTAGCAGAAAAGCCGTTTAACCCTTTAAAACCGGTAAGAGCAGCAAGCTCCGTTTTGCATAACTATTTTTAAATCCCGGTAGCACCGCAACAGGAGGATTTGTACTTACATCTTATGCCATCACCTTGCCCTAGGTCACAGTTTCCTTCCACATATAGCTTTGCAAAAACTGCATAAAAAGCACTTGCAGCAACAAAAACATAATATTCCAGAAACATGCTTTGCCGATCCAATCAGCTGTTCATAACACTTCCTATGTCCATCAGCACGAACTATCGCATGTCCACCATGACCTGCCCGAAACCGGAAGGGACGTCATTTTCGCGGAAATGTAGTTTTTTACCATTAAGGCCTCATGAGCTTATACTGGTGTTTTTAAAAGTTATGTTTGACTTTATGACTTTCTGTGTCGTTTCTGGGATGCTTAGGACTCATATTGCACTGCTGGAAATAGTTTATTTTGATGCATATGCTGCTTTTTTGCAAATTTGCACACGTTTTTCCTGCAGTGTATAGAAAATTTCAAAAAGGAAACTATGAAGACACTCAAAATAAATTTCATGTGGTGGGAAACTATTTTGTGCAACTTTTTTGTATTTACAGTTTTGAGGGATAAGCCTCTTAAATTTCTCTAACTAGAAATATATGTTAAAAAACAAAAATGATTTTCAATTTTTTTGTAGTTTATTGCACTTTTTTGCAATTTATGTAATTACTATGCACTTTATGCAGACATATTATTAAAATTTAGGCTGTAATGGTTGTATTGATGTATAGCACCTTGAAATGCTCCCAAAAATGGCTCTACAACATGTAAAAATATAATATAAGCTCTGGCGGACTTGGTTCTATGGTAGGTCTTAAAGGGTTAACAAGACAAAACCACATCTGTCATATTTTTTAAATATTTTGTTCCAATACAAATTTTTCTATTTTTTTTTTTTTTAATGATTAGCTTTCTGTAAAATCAACTAATAATTGGTGCTTCAAGAAATCAGCATCCTTTCATGTGTTGCATCTCTGGAGCAGTTTAGAAAAGTAAAGTTTAGCTTAACTTCGACCTGTAGTCGTTTGCGAAGGACACCGTAGTTGCATCGGTTCCTTCAGTACTCCAGACGTGCACATATTTCCCCCCATATAAATGTGAAATCTAACACCGAGCGTGTCAGTTACTGCCTCACGTCAGTCTATTGTAAATTGAAACACAGTACATGAGTCACAGTGTCACTGTTGTCTCTGTTTGATTTCCTTCTACCTGTCTGTTCTGGCCTGCTTCAAAAAATGTGTTTGTTCTGGCTTTGCTTAATTTAGACCAGAATGACAGGGACAAAGGTTTTGAAGCCTTCCCAAATGACAGCCTCCCCTTCTGAAGATTGTTTATGATATCTGTAGCTCTGTAGGTATAGCTCAGAATCCCTCTGAGAGATTCTAAATCAAAAGTGTGTTTAAGAAAACAAGAGCACCAGAAGACTGTATGTGTTTTGGGTCTGGAGGAGGACTGGCAGTTTGCTCAGGCTGTAATTGTAAATGTAGTTGCCAGAGCAAATATCTTTTGTCAGTATCCATCTGCAGAAAACCGAGACAAAGAGCAAAGCTGATGTTCTGGCAAAGAAACAAGGCTTTGCAGAATAGTTGTGGTAATTGTTCTCACTGATTGGATTTCATTCGTTGTCCACTACATGCAGTCAGCAGCAGTTGTATGTTACATTGCGTCACTCTACCTTAATCCACAGGGGACTGTTCACGAGCATTGTGTGACGCTTACCTCTCTCTGTCTTTTCTCTTTGTTGCTTAGGAGTTTGCAGCACTGACCAAGGAGCTGAACGCCTGCAGGGAACAGCTGCTGGAGAAAGAGGAAGAGATATCTGAGCTCAAAGCCGAGAGGAACAACACCAGGGTGAGGACAGCGTCCATATACATCTTTATTAAACTTTCCTTACTTAACTTATTTTAATATGACCATTGGAATTCAGTAGTTCTGAGCAATGAGAACAAACAAAACTGATGTTTGGACATTTTGAACCAGAAATGAAGCTGCTTTTGCATTTCATACTCAATCCTTTTTTATGCATTCCACAAGTTGCTCTCAAGTTTTCCCAAAAAACCTGCTGGACACTGCGATAGGCAGCGTCCAGAGGAAGATTAAGCTATCTGGTGGCTACGGTTTTAAGGCTGCAAAAGCACTGAAGCAACCATGCACACTGTCTATTTCCTGTGCCCAGGCACACCTCATTAGCTCTCCACATTCTGCCTGAAAATTGTTCCACTTACTTCACATGGATGGCTGCTCAACAGTAAAACTAAGTCCAAATGGTACTGATGCCCTGCAGTGTCCAGTTCAAAGAATTTGGTGTGGGGGAGGGGCAGCTAAAAAAAAAAAACCATTAGAGGATCAGCTGAAGTCCAGTATCTTCAATAAAAAACATTGCCTTTTTAAAGCACACTCTGCTGTTGATAGATAAGACTCTGCTTTCCATCCCAATGCTGATGAAGTGTGTATTTGCAGTCTTGCACTATCTTCCTCTGGTGGAGACAGAAGATTTTAGCACAGCACTGATGGAAAATTACAGAAGAGAGGGAGGTGAGGTGCAAGAAAGGAGGACAGACAAAAGTCATTTTTACTCTCGCACTTTATTATCACCTCAAATTCTCCAACAGGCAATTACTAAGCAAATTTTAATTAAGCTTGGTTTTGTCACTGGTTATAATTAAATCTTGGAAGACATGTACAGGCAGTCATTTGACTTGGGAACCTGCAACATCATGTGCTGAGTATGGGATTGGTCTTATTGGCTGTGGGTTAAGCATCACAGTCTTTGATATGTGATGAAGATCTAGAGTTTTCAAACTTTTGGTGGGCCAAGACTAACTAACATTTATAACTGATTGCTTTCGTGTATTTTAACTGATAAATTTTCAAATCACCAGCTACAACTTAGGGGATTAGTGTACATACTATCTGTTTTATCGCAGGCATAGTTGTGCACTTTGCTCATAGTTTTACAGAGTTACAAGAATGGAAATCAAACATAATTAAGCAACTAAACTCAAACTAACTAACTAGTATGTTAGGTCTCATTCACTAAAGCCTAGAGACCAGTTAATGACTATCTCACAACCACTAGTCGCTAGCAGGAAAAATGTGTAGACCCTGAGTGAGTGAGCGGCTGCTGGAGGTTGCTCACTCAAACTAGGTGAAATCAGTCGCCAAAAGGGTGCTGCACCGAAACCATGACTGCTTTGGTTTCAAGCAGACTGCAAACAGTTTGCATGTGAGATGCAGACTTGTCTGCAAACACTCACCGTTTTCCTCTGTTAGCTGAAAGTTGGAAACATTTGGGGCAAATCGGAAACAGAGAAAGTCGTGCCTTACCACTTCAACCAAAACGCTTCAAAAGCCACAACTTTTACTTTGTAGATCAAAGTTCTCTGTTGCCTGTTCGCCTCACACGTTTCACTTTTACTACTGCTTGGTGAGTAGTTTTCAGGTATTTGCAGTAGATCCTGACTAATATAAGATTTTTTGCAAGTAATACCGATATTTATTGATTAAAAGTCGGATATATCGGATGAAACACAAGTTTGAAGGATATGTGTAACAACATTTCATCTTTACTTTTTAAATTTTCATTTTTTGGCAAGTTAAAAATCCAGATATCAATATATTTGCAAATAGCTGATATCTGCTCATATCAGTTAAGCTCAAGCTCTAGTTTACAGTCAATTCAGTGTCTGCGCTGCAAACTGTGGGCAATCATGGTGACCTGTTACTTATTAAAGCAATCACAAGGGGAGGGGGGTCACTTATCGCCACCGTACCGATAAAAGTACTCTGAATTTATATTTTTAGGTGGGGCTTATTTGATTTGTAGAAGGGTTCATGCTAATCAAAAATGATCAGTTTTCATCAGCTTAAAAATTTCATTATGTAATAATAATGCTATTTAATTACTTTGAGCATTTGAGTTCAAATGCCACCGAAATTCTTTGTGTTAGAAAACCTTTTAAACATCGTCCTTCACATGTGTTTTATATTGATAAATCCAAATTGCAGTTTTAAGCATGTAAATTCCACACATGCGCTTTTAGAAAAGGATCATTTAATTCAATCTACACCATGAACAAGCTGGCTAGCATCATGGTTTGTTTGCTTGAAACTAAGAAAGCGTGACTCAGATCTGGTCTTCTGTTGCTGCTCTTACTCAGTTTGGCCTTGAACCGTAACTTGACAGCGTGGTCTGGCTCAAATATTTCTCTATGCCGGCCAGTTAGCTAGCTGGCTAACAAGCCAAGCTCTGCAGCAGAACAGTCTGTTGTACCCCGAGTGAAGTGAGTGATTTCATGACAGATTTACGTGATGTCTCACAGTCGCATCAGAGTAGCTGTTGGCACAAAGATAATGTGAGTAATGGACCCAATATGCCTGCTTCATCGGCATAAAAGATCCTCGTCTAGATATGCACTTTTCAATGTCATGACACATTTTAGGATTTACAACAACTCATTTTGTGCACCACTTAGCCGTGGGTCACGGACCCCACTTCCAGCAGCTGATGTAGAGACAGAGACAGAAAAACAAGATCGGATAAATAATGAAAATATTTACTGAACGAGATTGGAAATGGGGTGCTGTTGAGTAAACACTGACTTTCTGATTGAATCAACAGTAGGCATTTTGTTGAGTGTGCAGGATTATATATGTAGACATGATGGATGCTGATGGATCTCTCAGGGACACTTGAATCAGAGAGACAAATGAAGAGACTACACTCATTCTCCTACAGCAGTGCTCTGCAGGGGTCTTCTTTTCACTGCTAGTTTTCATTGTTCGACTCTTACACCTCACTCCTGCAGAGATTCTGATCACTTCTGCCTGCTCCAGTGTTTTCTATTGAAAATGTATCTTTAGGATCCTGCAGGGAAAAATAAGACATCAAAGGAATCAAACATTTTTATGGATTTTGCTTTTGTTTTGTCAGGTGTGTTTGACATTAAAATTAGTCAGAATGCTATTGATTATTTCTGTTACTTTATTTGGAACCATATATTGAAGAATATCACATTCTAAGTTAGCACACTTGTCTTTTTACATTTACATTTTGGGAAATTCAGTTAGATGAAAAGATCAATCCTGTTCTAAATGTTGGACTGTAACTGTGCAGTAGTCAGTATACTCAGTTGGCTCAAAAAGGAAATTTCGAAAAGGATCTGTTGACTTTGGCTAGTGGTAGCCAAATTTACTTGAAACTTTAAGATAACAAAAGTTCATAATATAAACTTTGTAATACTTCAGTAAAAGTAAGAAGGCATCTACAGCACGATTATTACTTCTGTAATCTGTAATCATGCTCCAGAACTACTTTTAGCAGCAATGACTGTAAGGTGTTCAGGCCTGCAAAGTGATCCCAAATCACCATCCACCACCGTGCTTGACATATTTGCAGATGTCTGTCTCTATTTTGGTGTCATCTGTCCAAAGAACATTGTTCCAGGACACATGTTATTTGTTCAGATGCAACTTTACAAACCTGAGCTGTGCTGCCATATTCTTTATAGAGCAATATTTTAAACACTAACAGATCCTTGTAGAGCCAATGTAGATGTAGCTCTTACAAATTTTTGCACTTCGTCTGAGCATTGCGCAGTCTGACCCCTGATTCAATTCGATCGGATGTCTACTGCTGGGAAGATGGAGACATCGTGTTGCTGACAATAAGCTGCTACCTATCATCTTAATTCGTACAGAAGCAGTCGGTGTGTACTTTGTTTTTCACAGGACTGCATGTTTGTGAAAACTTTCTTATTGACATGACTGTATATAAAAATTAAAAGTCAAACCAGAAGTGCTATTGGCACAAAGATTAAGACTACAAGGAGCCTTAAATCTGCATTCTTTTAAATAGCCAGCGGGGCATAACACAAAAACATTACCTTTTGGTTTTCTTCATCTATCATGTTAGTAAAAGTTTTCTGAGGAGTTTCTACTCTCAAACTCTAGTTTCAAACTTTGCTGACTACAGCGTGAGCTTAGTTTACTAAATTATGGTCCCATTTAGAATTTAAAAAAAAATTGAAAAACTAATAAAATTTAAAAAAAAAAAAACAAAACTTGTTACTTGTTACAGTTACGCTTGAGGGCTAGCTGCCTCAGTATTGGCAAGTTTAAGGAGTTTTCATGGTTACTCATGGTTATCTGTTTGCCACAATTGGTGCTATGTAGCCTATGGAAGAATCTTTTTAGATCTATGTTAATAATTTAGCCTATTTTTACTTCAGCAGAGATGTCAGTGGTATTTTGACTTAATAGCAATGGTTTACACTTGGAATATACTTACAATGGAATACACTTACACCAGCTAACTATGTTAGGTAGCCTCAGATGGAGATGTTTGGACAGTTGAAGTAAAGGTATACTGGGAATATAACCAGTAAGGTCAGAAAGAGCACAAAGATCATTCTGAGCTGTAACTTTAGCCTATAACCAGATCATTATCTCGAGGCTATATTATTATTGCCCCGGACAACATCAGAGAGGGAAAGAAGTGTCACGATCTGCCTCACTAGGGGAAATGAAATGAAAGCAGACGATCCTACACTGATCTCACAGTGGAACCTGAGCAGGCTCCAGTAACAAATAACGTTTTATCTCTGCTGAATAACACACATGATTGTTTACTCCCAGTTTTTGTTGTGTAGTTGCCTTTTGTTTAGCCCGCCTCCAAGCTCCGCATTTCTTCTCTGTCTTTGTGTAGCACTCTGCTGGCTGTTGACTTGACAAGTTACCTCGCAACATAGATTACACTTTTGTGTGTTTTTGTTGAAAGGACAGCGTTGCCTTTGCAGTTATCTGCCCCCTTTTTTATATATACATTGTTCGCACAGTTACATTGAGGCGTTACAAGAATACAAAGCAAACTTTTCTTACTGAAAAACATTCTCTCCAGTGATTCTGAACTTTCATACCATAATTTGGAAATAACTCACAACAGTTTATGAGAATGTAAATAGTGATTATGGCAATTTTAATTGGTAAAAAAAATGTGATGATACTAAAAATAATAATAGAAGTTAGTCACATACCAAACCACCAAACCACTTTTATTGCAATTTTTTCTTTTTTCCCCAAGGACTCAGTCTCTGTAAGTAATCACCTTTGTTGCATGTATATAATGTTTTTTTGATAGTCATGTTTGATTTTTGAAACATTTTTGAGCCTGATCAAGCACACTTGAAATCATTCCTCTAGCACTTGTAGAAAAAAAAACATAAATAGAATTAGAACAAGAGCCGTGGCTTTCTGTGTTCTCAGAATGTTCATATTTTGGATTCTTCAGCAGTTCTCAGAGTTGATAATAACATTGACTTCTCCTATTTCTTCCCTTTAGTTACTGCTGGAACATCTTGAGTGCCTGGTGTCCAGACACGAGCGGTCACTTCGTATGACTGTGGTCAAGAGGCAGGCTCAGTCTCCTTCAGGGGTCTCCAGTGAGGTCGAAGTTCTTAAAGCACTCAAATCCTTGTTTGAACACCATAAAGCCCTAGATGAGAAGGTAAGGTTGTCAGAATATATACATTAAATGTGTAACTGTTGGCTTTTTTCAGTTTTACCAAATTTAATGTGTTTGACTTTAATGTGTTGTTTTGACTTGGTTGTATCTCCCTTCTCTGTTGTATTATTATTAATTACTTGTGTGTTTTATATTATTATTAGAGACAAATACATGTATTTTTGTTTATTCTGGATCAGTCACATGTTATTTACATTTAAAATTCTTTTTTGGTTTTCATAAATGCACAAGTAATTAGTGGGTTTGTGAAAAGTGTAACTGACTATTAAAAAAAATTATTTGAAAATTTAGGTTTAATGTGTTATATTTCTGCAGTGTGGTGTCATTAGTCATGTCAAAGGCAAGCTGAGTGAGTATTAGTACAGTGTGGAGGTGAAGTAGCTAGTTGGCTAGCTAGCTGCAGGAGCTAACCAGGAGAAAAAAGTTTTAAGCCTTTACATGTCCCACTCAGTGTTTCTCCTCACATCCCGCTGATTTATGACCTTAGCCTCCCGTGTAATATCAGCACTCCCCCTGTAATCCATTCATCCTCCCCTCCCAAAAGCCAACATTTATAACACATGTCCAACGTCCACATTGTTTAAGGTAATAAAAGCTCAGGCAAATGGGGTCCCGTGTTGGAACAATATCCCAGAGTGGACACAGAGGATCAGCCTCTTCTGATATCTGGTGCACACTCACAATGTGTTGCAAGTAATTGTTCCATCACAGCCATGATGAACCTAAAAGAGACAAAGGGAGAAGTGTAGAAGGGGAATCTCCTCTCTGCAAATGGTGCTTTTAAAGCAGTAAGAGCCGTATAACGCTACTTTGAAGCCCCAGCAAAGTGGTGTTGTAAGGCTAAGGGAGGAAAAGAGGATAGCACCTTCTGATGTGTTAACCCTTGCTTTCCTGGACTGGGATTTTAACAGCGGTGAGAGAGGAAGCTAATGATTGCGTTTTCAGCTTGGCTCTTTTAAGATAAGTCCATCCCAGTGGAATTAAGTGCAGTGAAGGCTTATAACAGTGCCCATCACAAAGGATCTACAGACAGATCGTGATTCATGTTTTGTGATTTTCAGGTAAGAGAGAGACTACGAGTGTCACTGGAGAGGGTGTCTGCCTTGGAGGAGGAGCTCACAGCAGCCAATCAGGAGGTAATAACCACCACACTCACCAGTAACTACATTAACTGCTTGCTAATGCAGATGTCTTATAAGCAACCAAATTCTTTTAGGCATATGGAAGAAATGTGATGAAAGTGACTTTGAATGGGGCAGATGGGCCAATCTGAGTATTTCAACTGCAGATCTACAATAATTTTCACACACAACAGTCTCAAGGGTTTACCTCTCTGGGCAGAAAGGCTAGAGGAGAATGGCTAGACTAAAAAGTCGACAGTAACTCTCGTAACCTTATGTTAAAACTTAAAGCAAAAGACCACAGGGGTTCCAATGCAGGGCTAACAAGCTGTGACTAATGGCCACGGTGTGATATTTTTAAACACACTTTTTGTTGTTTGTGTTGTCAGATAATGCATCATCAGTGATTATGGATTAAAACAAGAATGAATGGGCTGAAATTCCTGGAACCTCAGACAATGATTTGTTGGTTGTTTTTATACCAATGTATAGTGTCTGACTTGAGGTAGATTAGCTTTCTTCATCAAAGGACCACTGAGTAGCATATAGACGAATGGGACAAAGAAAAATTATATTCTTTAATAAGGAATTAAAGACTTTGGCTATTTTATTAATCCTTTGCATAAAAGGCATCAGGAAAAGCAAGCATTTCCAATTTGGAAAACAAATACTATTGTTTCATTTAAGCCATTCCCATCAGACAAATGCATGTCTGTAATGCTTTTTAAGGATTCTGCAAACATGCTCAGTAAACATAATTTTGTACATGCAGAGTTAATGTGATAAACGAGCATTTTTATTTATTCCAATCGCAATTTTTTTTTTACTCAACCCATCCAATCTTTAAGCATCTAAACCTAAAAAACTACTAAAGTAAAAACCGAGTAAAAACTAACTTCAAAGCACAAAGTTTCCACATGGGAAACTTTGGTCTATAAAATTGTGGCTTACTTAATTTTATAGCACTTAAATTCATCTGCATCTTAAAAATCACTGCTGGTGTATGAAGGCACAGACGCTGACAAACAATCTGTCCAATGCCAACAGTGAAGAGAAATATTTCACACTTTGAGATGGGAATGTGCTGAAATAACAGAAAATATATGCTGTTCATATATTAAACATGTAGATACTATTTATATATACATGCTGTATCTCAAGACTTGTGTTGAGTTGCATATTCCGAACAAACATAACATATATACAGGAACATATACTACTTGTTTACATGGATGCAAACCTAATACATACTGTGATGTGTCCTGAATTATGTATCTGCTCTGAAACCCAGAAACATTTACAGTACCTCGACAGGCTTCACTCTACCTCATCTTATGCTCATCAGTGGGTGTGGCGAAGCACTGACAATACATTGGCCACTGTTTCCTTGGTGGCATTTCCTTCTTCACCTCCTAGTTCGGGCTAGAGTAGGATTTGCACTGCAGATGGTCCTGTTCCAGCTGAGGAAAAACCCTCAGGCTGCCACTTCACAGCCTGTCAGACATGCCAGCCTGACACTCGGGCCTGGAGTAAAAGTCACTAAAAGGAGGACAAGAAGAAAAAGAAGGGAATGAAAAGCAATAGGGGGAATGGTTGGGAGGCGTGTGGAGTGGGTGGAAGGACAGACAGAGATCTAGTGTGAGAGGAGAGAGAGGGGGTAAGGATGAAAAAAAAGGCATAGAGAGGCAGAAGACACGAATAGACATGGCAGGTGGGATGCAGAGGCAGATCGTGTGTGGAGGTATGTGTATTAATGAGAGTGCAGGGCTCCACTTGGTCAGAGCACCTCTGAAAGAAACCGAAGGACTGAAAAAGTGAAGCTGTAATGATATGTTTTGATGGCGAGTAAAGTCGCTAGGGGTCAAAACCCAAGATTTGATAGTGTGCGATCTACCAGACAAGGAGAGAATTGTAGAAAAGATTGAAAACTTTAAAAAGTAAACCCAAAGGCCAGCGGTACCTAAATTCTTCTCTTTTTCTCTTTGACAGTTTTTCCTGAAGTCTTGTTTTTTAAATGCAGAAACTCTGACAGACATCTCAGCAGCACCTTGAAATATTTCTCACATCACACTTCCAAGCTTATAAAGACCATACAGTATTTCTGTGTGGCTGTCCCTCTCTAATGGTTAACACAACACTTGTCAGAGCTGCGGACAGATGAGTGATTAGACCTTGAGGTGATGGAGGGTGGAGGTCGTGGTGGTGGTGGTGGTGGAGGGGATGGTTAAACCGGCTTTGCCGAATAAAAATGTCCACGCTTGAGAGGCTCCAGGGAGGCAGGCGGATCCGTGAGCCCGCAAACTAGTAATTGATTTGAGATGGAGGTCTATTATGAGTCCCATTTCCCTCCAGGAATTTAGACAATGTGTCCATCCTTGAAGAAATCAGCAGCCTTTAACCTCATGCAGTCACAGGTGTTTAAGTGGCCCCACACTGATTGCTGCTAGTGATTGCAGTTCTGTCTGTGGAGCATTTTGGTATCTATCTTAGGATGAATTGTTGCTTACCAATTATTTGATGTTAATCAAAACAGACATATTTTTAAGACACTGTTAAATTCCCAAAGGTAGCTCAATAGCTCATTTGAATCTATCACAACCATACAAGATCAAGGCACATAAAATAATATGTATCAAATATGATTTTATGCAGTCATACCAGATTCTTAGCAACTCAACCCTAGTTACACGTGGTGATTGACCATTTGTAACTTTCAGAGGCTTAAAATGAAATTGACTAATGAGCTATTTTATGGTCATGTGAAGTCTGTTCCTTCATTATTGTTAAAGGAACAGGGAACATTATTTGGCAAATTATGCAAATGATGGCCACCCCTCCCTGAGCCTGGTTCTGCCAGAGGTTTCTTCCTGTTAAAAGGGAGTTTTTCCTTCCCACTGTCGCCAAATTGCTTGCTCAAGGGGGTCATTTGATTGTTGGGTTTTTCTCTGTATATATTATTGTAGGGTCTACCTTACAATATAAAGCGCCTTGAGGCGACTGTTGTTGTGATTTGGCGCTATATAGATAAAATTGAATTGAAAGAAATTGATTTGATTTCAAGTGTTGCATTTTGTGTTTTTTTTTGATGGAGCTCCCAATAGGAGGAGCTCCCAAAGAATGTTGATGCAAGTGAAAGAGGCTGTCACTAGACTAAAAAAACAAAATAACTTTAATGAGTAGTGAGTAGCCAAAATCAACAATCTGGCGCATTCTTAATAAGTGGAACTCAATTGGCTAGGTCTGCAACACCAACACCTTTCTGAATGTAAAGGACAGTTTACAACAAGGTCTAAATAACAGGTTGCAACAACAAGCCAGATTAGACAACAAAATTAATTGATCAGAAGTATACCACATCATCTGTCTAACATGGTAGAGATAATGTTGTGAGGCGGGCATGTATGATAGTGGAACTACCACTAGTGTTTATAGGTGATGTGACTGCTGATAGAAGTATGGATTCTGAAGTGTACAGGACTATACTCTCTCTGCTAATATTCAACCAGATGCTGCAAAACTGATTAGACAGCACTTCATAGTGCAAATGGATAATGGCCTGAAGCATACTGGAAAAGCTACCCAAGAGTTTCTTAAGGCAAAGAAATGGGATTATTTTCAATAGCCAATAGAGTCATTTGAATCAGTTTTTAACAATTTAAAGCAGCTTTAATGGTGTGGTAATATAAGATTTGATAATCGGATGTATAGAAAGGTAACATCTGACCCATGAGCCGATGTGGGCTAGCACTGAGGTCCTTACAGGCTGAGCAAGATCCAAACCAGCACTATGCTCAGTAGGAGAAATACTCTGTTCACGGTAATTCAAATAAAAACTGGCAGAAAAGGTTGAGAATGGCAACAGCAGTACTTTTTTTTTCTCACTTTTGCAACAAAAAAAAAGACTGACCTAATTCTTTTGGGATTTTGTAGAAGAAAGAAAACTAATACATGAAATGAAATCTCCTTTGACCTAAAACATTTGATAAACATGTTTTATGTGTGGTCATGCATTTTTCCCCAGGTGTGTGATTGATTCTATTTTAAGTGCATTGCACCAAACTTGCTTTCCCCAAATCTCACCTTGACGTTATTAATCTTTCATACTCTAAGAGCAACCTCTCACACCCGTGGACACACACACTCACACATAGCCATTCTTATTTCACTCCTTCCCATTTTCCTCCAATTTCTACTTCATCAGACATTCCTGTCAACACAGAGCCCAGAAGTGCTAAAGGAAGATAAGGAAATTGTGATGCTGCGTTGTAAAAGAAGCTCCACTTGTCCTTGTGTCCCTCGTCACCCTTTTCATTTTGCATCTGGCAAACTTCTATCTGTCTTCTTTCATTTCAGCGATGGAGATGCATCAGTAGCGCCCCATTCATCACGACTTTATGTCATGGGTGGCGTTGGTGTTTGATCTCTGAGATGGAGAAATTACAGACAATCTCAAAATAATGGTACTGGAACATACGGAGGCATAATTATGCCCTCATTAAAAATAATGAACTGAAGATGCTTTGTAGACAGAGTGCAGCAGAAAAGAAGAAGCCAAGCTGCTGCTGGCAAAGTTGAGTGTGAAGGAAACCCTGTCTGTGGAAGGTGGGAGATAATCTTCTGTTCTCACTCGCAACTTTAAAGAGGTCCCGACATTAACTGCGGCTTGTGTCCAGGTGTCAATGAGGGCAGGTTGGGATCTGAGTTTAAACTGGATCATGTCAAAGTCACTTGAAGGCATTGTTTGTTTTATCGACAGCAGTTTCATTGATTGTCCTCGGGCTCCTCTTCCTGTTCTGATCACAACAAATGTCTGTTGCGGAAAGAGAGAGAAAAGACGATTTTTTTTTTTGAATTTTTTTTCAACGGCGACGATCACTCAGCATTTCCATTCTCAAACTGTAATTATTTATTAGAATGATTAGTAATGGTAGTTGGATTGTCATAAATGATGGTGCTGGCTGCTTGGAAATCCTGATCGAATCATCCATAAAGAGAAGGACAAAAAGGAACAAGCATGATTTGAGAGTCCTACATGGTTCAGAGATTAAAGCTTTTCTGAAACTTCCGAGTACTCGAAGAGGAGAACCAGCATGATGCAGCCTTAATCACATCACGCTATCAGCATGCCTCATGTACTGTAGTAATTGTTGGGGGGGGGGGTGTTGTTAGGAGTTCCTCCTTTTTTGTTCGTGTAGGGAATAACTGTAAAATATTTTAGTGCTAGAGTTGTTTTTCTGGTGGTTATTTACTTTTTAGGGGAGGTTTCAGAGATTGAGACCAGTGGACAGTGGTGTAACTTTGACTGCTTCTGTCTGCAAAGATAAACAGAACACACTGTACCAAGCTTATTGTTGAAATAAAAGCAGACAGTCTTTTCACATTTTGAACAAATCTCCAGGTTGGCCAAATTCATTTTGAACAGGAACACAATAGCACACAGAAATATCATCTATGCTATTTTAACATCCCTCACAGTTTGTACACTGACTTTGTGGCTTTTCTTAGTTTTCCATTGCAAAGAGGAGCATTGAGGATCTGCCCTGTTTCAGTTTTACTTTCAGAGCCAGGACTGCGTGTGTTTGGCTTGTATTTCTTACTCTGTTTTGACTTTCTTTTCTCAGGGGAATCATTAATTCATACATTTCTTAAAGCTGCACTGTGTTTACTTTAGTGCAGCTAGCCTATGTTCGACCTCAATAAAAGATTGATGCATTTGCATTCCCCGTGTATATGATGCATACACGGAGAACATCTTAGAAGAAGTTACCCATTTTGCTAGTTAATATTTAGTGGCCTACCTGGGACGAATGAATGGCCGCTCTCCATAAGCATTAGGCTCTGGAAAGAAGTACTTCAACAAGTACTGTGAACTCTGTGCTTCAAAATTCTCACACAGATATTAGTAGGCAGCAGGTACACTGTCAACCTTTCTCTCTCTTGAAGTGAGTGATAATCATATGTTGTTAGTCAAAGCCAAACCAGAATGTTATTGTTGCCAGACACCCCTGTGACAGGGTTACGGCTTCAGGATGGCTGATGGTGGGGAAATAAAGCACTTGGTTTGCAAAACTCAATAATCACAAGGTTTCCATGAATGTTCATATGTTGGTTAAAGTAATGTTCCAAAATTCCTATGCAGTGTGATATACTGTAATTTACTAGCGTTGCATAAGAGGGGGAAAATGATTAGTTAACCGAGGATTGCAGTTATGTGTGGTTGTGGTTTTATCCTCATCGTGTGTGCAAACAAGAGGCTCATTCAAGAGGCTTTGCTAAAAGCTCAAAGTTCTAAAGCCACACTGAGTAAGATGCCAGCCTTAAAATTCAGTTTTGTTTTTTCATCTCACACAAACTGTGTTGCTGTGTGCAGGCAAGTGTGTGCGGGGGTTTTTTTGTTGTATTTTTTTTAAACTTCTTACCCCATATTTTTGTGTCCCACAGATTGTGGCCTTACGGGAACAGAATGCTCACATCCAGAGAAAAGTGGCATCAGGTGAGGGAGGAGAGGACATTTTGGAGGGCAGTGAAGCTCAACAGAAGGTCCATGGCAAGGTGAGCTCCCTTGATTTAAATATGGGAGGAAAAAATGGTCAAAATTATGTGTGGATCTATAATAACTACACTACACTTTAATAGTCTGTACATTATGGCAATATTTGCACTGGTTGTTTTTGATTAAGATATAGTTTATTCTAAAAATGTGCATAGTATTATGTATGTATATATTAAATATACTTACTGTGGCGGTCATACAGTAACCCTGATGTTTTCCATTTCAAAATAAAAGCACTAGCAATCAGTATTTTGTCTACAACCCTGCTGTGGTGGCATTACACAAATAATTCCCGTACATTTAGTTCCCCCTGCTGTATTGGCATTTTGACTTTAAAGTATTGCAGCGACTATCAAATGGTTTTGATCATACATTTATTTACCTCTGCAGGCATTCTGAAGGTAACCAGTTAGGCGAAAACTCCTGCTGTGATCTCACCCCCTGCCATTATGCAGGAGCACACATGGACATCCATAGCTGAATACAAATTTCCT